CGGCAGCCAAACTTGCGTCTTCTTCGGGAAGAAGCTTCCCTCATTAAAATGCAAATCAATTTATATCATTTTTGACATGCGTTTTTCTGGATTTTTTGTTGTTGTTATTCTGTCACTCACTGTTCAAATAAACCTACCATTAAAATTATAGACTGATCATTTCTTTGTCTGTGGGCAAACGTACAAAATCAGCAGGGGATCAAATAATGTTTTCCCTCACTCTACTTACATTCAGTAATCTTGCTCTGATTTGTCATCCTAATGGGACCTTGAGATAAAATGTAGCATTGTTTTGTTTGATAAAATACATTTTTATATTAAAATGTAGGAACTGGGTTCTACAGTTTGAACCCCTGCTGTCTCTGGCTCCACACCCACCCCGCCCGGCCATCTAGATGTGTGAAAGTTACATTTACATTTACATTTAGTGTATAAGCTAATGATCCATCATATATGACAATCCTGGAAGTGTGTAAACTTACATTTTGTATTACCATATCATTTTTGTATGTTCTCTATAGTTATGTACTTGAAAATGTATCAATCGACCAATTTGGCACATTTGGGCAGACTTGAAACAAAATAGTCCAGTACTGCAACGCTTCACTGGCTCAATCTGAAACGTTGCACACACACTGCTGCCATCTAGTGGCCAACATCTAAATTACGCCTAAACTGCAATATTATATTGTGGCCTTTCTCTTACATTTCAAAGATGGAAAACACATGTTTTTTGTTTGTATTATCTTTTACCAGATCTAATGTGTTATATTCTTCCACATTAATTTCACATTTCCACAAAGTGTTTCCTTTCAAATGGTATCAAAGATATGCATATCCTTGCTCCAGGTCCTGAGCTAGAGGCAGTTAGATTTGGTTATGTCATTTTAGGCGAAAATTGAAAAAAAGGGTCCCATCCTTAAGAGGTTAACTCTACCCACATGTACATGTTACCTCAATTACCTCGACCAACCTGTGCCCCGGCACATTAACTCTACCGGTACCCCCCCTGTATATAGCCTCCCTACTGTTATTTTATTTTAAAAATTTGGTGCCCACCACAACCCTAGGAAGGAATATCAATATTTTAAATTAACCCTTTAAATTAACTCTTTAAGACAAAAAAAATTTTTTGTAAAAAATTTTTACAAAAGTACCTCTTACACAACAAACCTTAAAAATGGTCATCCCAAAATTTTACTCTTTTATATTCCCTATATAGTGCACTACTTTTGACCAACCCAGGGACAGATTTTTTTAAATTTTTATGGTATTTTCTGCGCTTTGCAAATTTTTTCACTAAAAATGTGAAACTAAATCTTCTTCCTTAAAAATCTTTTCCCCAAAAACTGACAAGGGAGGTCAGGGGGCACTCAGAGCCTGAATGTAAAGTGGACTATAGTAGACTGGTAGGTTATAAAGGGGGGCCTGCTTTTAGACTCCAAACTGTGTCCCAAATGAACCCTTTTTCCGGGGCACTATTTTTGACTTTAGTGCTTTATATAAAAGCTTTTTGGAAGAAAAAAACTGCAAAAATAACCTACCCAAACCTCAATGTCAGTCACTCTACCATCCCCTCAATGTTCAGGTCCTACTCTACCCATACCCTCAATGTTCAGGTCCTACTCTACCCATACCCTCAATGTTCAGGTCCTACACTACCCAGACCCTCAATGTTCAGGTCCTACTCTACCCATACCCTCAATGTTCAGGTCCTACTCTACCCAGACCCTCAATGTTCAGGTCCTACACTACCCATACCCTCAATGTTCAGGTCCTACACTACCCATACCCTCAATGTTCAGGTCCTACACTACCCATACCCTCAATGTTCAGGTCCTACACTACCCATACCCTGAATGTTCAGGTCCTACTCTACCCATACCCTCAATGTTCAGGTCCTACTCTACCCATACCCTCAATGTTCAGGTCCTACACTACCCATACCCTCAATGTTCAGGTCTTACACTACCTATACCCTCAATGTACAGGTCCTACACTACCCAGACCCGATTGCTTCTGACCCAAAGTTTGGGAACCACTGTAGTAACCTCTCTCTGTTTTGGTTCCTCTCTCTCTCTCTCTCAGCTTCACCACTGAGTGCCACCTCACTGTTTCAATAGCGTACTCTCTGTAAAGCAACGTTATTATGAGAAGTTAGTAGCCTATTCTCTTGCTCCTGTTGAGGTAACATTAGCTTCTTACGTCATCCTTCTAGCTGGCTAAGTAATTCTACCCGTAGTAAACTAAAATCCACTCCATGGTGAAGGAAGTTCATGATGAACTCCACTACCGACTTTTTGCTTTTTTCTGTTTGTCAAATATGGCAACGTAGTGCAAAAGCGCATGTGTCAATTGAATCTCCGATGACGTGGGTGTCACGATCGTCTGAGGAAGCGGACCAATACGCAGCGCGTGGAGTGAACATGATGACTTTATTTAATAAAGCAACCACGAAAAACAACAAATGACGATAGTGACGTCCTCTGTAACACTGACAGAAACATGGAACAAAAACCCACAAAACCAAGGAGAAACCACACAGTTTAAATATGGCTCCCAATCAGAGATAACGAGCCGACAGCTGACACTCGTTACCTCCGATTGGGAGTCATATGACTAATCAAGCACAATCACCAAACATAGAAATGAACAACTAGAATACCCAACATAGAAATACACCCAAACAATGAAAATGAACAACCCTGGCTCAATAATCAAAGTCCATGGAGCCAGAGTGTCACAGTGGGCCTAGGTCTCGAAAACACTCATTGTCCAATCAAATCACACAATCTACTGAGGGTGTGTCGACCAATAACATTCCACAGATCATTTCAGGTTCAAATAAACACTAAATCTGGCATATAACGTTATTGACTTGGCACATTTTCTGTCCAGAGATACTGAGCAATAACGAGACAGAGAGAAATCATTTTATAACCTAGGTTTCATTTATAAACCTCATCGGAGATTAAATTGACACAGTTGCCATCTTCGTGACACTGAAATGAGCAAAAAGTCGGTGGTTGTATTTGATGAATGTTTATTGAAAAAGTATGGATGTCACACCTGCTCCAGCGCTTGACGTCGTCGGTCTACTAACCACTGGTCCTGGCAACCATCATTACACACACCTGGCAACCATCATTACACACACCTGGCAACCATCATTACACCACACCTGGCAACCATCATTACACACACCTGGACCAAACACCTGGCAACCATCATTACACACACCTGGACCTCATCATCACCTTGATTACTATCCCTTCATATAGCCCTCAGTATCCTCCGTCAACAGGCAGTGTTGGTTTTGTTCAGCTACGTGATTTATATGATTAAACTCACCGTCTGCGTCCTGACTCCCGGTGTTACAATGGATTTCAGCAAACAAAGAAAGGCAAGTAACTAGAGAGGACAAACATGGATACAAGGTAGGGGTTTCATGATGAAATAGTTTTGAAGTAATGACCTTGGGTGAATCGACGTAGTCGGACCTAGATTCCACAAAGCCTGGTCTCTGCTCCACTCCGTAGGTGGAGTTCACTATAAACTTCCTTCACCGTGGAGTTTTGTCCGCTATACTAACCAGAGCCCTTCAACGTTACGGCAATATAAGTCTCTTCCAGTAGCTAGCCGGTAGGTGAATCGACGTAGTCGGACCTAGATTCCTCTCTAGTGAGCCAACTCCGAGCTGGGGTAGTTCGTTTCCACGAGAGGGCAGAGTTAGAGTGGTGAATGGTGGTTCGAGAGAGTGGTGAGTATGCTGCTAAAAGTCACATCCGTGCAACAAATCTGGGGGACTCAAACGAACATGACGAACAAACCACTGTTCATGATTCAACTTGTCAGTCAGATCAAAGCTCAGAATGCTTAAATTCTTGATCAACGATGGGAGCAATATTTAGATGTTGACCCATAATAGATTTTCTTTATTTTGGTCCGGACCTCTGTGTCCTCAGATGTAGTTATGGCCATGAACCCATTAATCTACTCCATTGTCCTGTTCTTCCAGAAATACAGAAGCTCCTCTCCTCTCCTAGCTACACAACCTCCCCTTCAGCCTTAAGACATTGACCTTTCACCCCACCTTCAATAGAATGAAGACCCTAACACAGGGTTTCCTTAACCTCTCCTCTGGTACCCCCAGCCATTCCACTAATTTGAAGTATTACTGTACAATCACAGCTGATTCTAATGGTTAACTAATCTCTCTCTCAGGAGAATATCACCATGGCGACATTGACCATCATTCTGCTTGTCAGCACGGCTTTTGCGTTGGGAGGTAAGCGAGGCATACCTCAGACTTACTCACCACGACATGTTATAAATTGTTTAAACATTGCTGGGAGCTTATCTGTCTTGTTGTTGCATATCCCACTCTCCCTGAGAGTCAGGTCACAGCTATGGTCAGCCATTATCAACGGCAACCCTGGAGCAATTAGGGTTATGTGCCTTGCTCAAGGGCACATAGACAGATATTTCAACTTGTCAGCTCAGGGATTTGAACTAGCAACCTTTCGGTTACTGGCCAAATGCCACTCCTCTAGTTCCAGAGATGTATATTGGTGTCTAGATGCTGGAGTGTTGAGGTATTGTGATATGAAAGGTTTGGTCCTTCAACTGGATGGATGCATGATTGGATTGTCAACCAACTATTAGGAAATAACACTGATATAATTTACCCCACTTTTACAGTCTTAGTTTCATCAGCTGTTGTACAATATGATGCAAAACTGAATTTTGACTGCACTGGGACTTTAAACAAGTAGCAGAATTTCAATATTTAGCCAGGAAGTCCCTTGAGACTGGTATCTGTTTTTGGAGGGAAACCTAGGTTACATCTATTCCATATAGTAAGCTGCTTTTGACCAGGCCCCATAGGGTGCAATTTGGGACGCACCCCAAGCTTCCAGACTCAACCCAAGCTTTCAGAATGCATGTCCAGCAATGTTATGTAATGTCCACATTACAATGTGTGTTACCTGTGTATCCAGATTGTACGATACGACCCAAGACCCCCTGTGAGCGTGCTAGAGATGCCATGAAAAACAGGCCGACTACAGCCTACATCCCAACTTGTGACTGCAAGGGACAATACACCCCTGAGCAATGTTGGGGATCTACAGGTTACCACTCTCTCACAAACACACACTAAATTCTCCAAGTCATTTAAAGGTGACAATTCATTTTGTGTTACAGTAACGTTTGTAATTATGTCAATATTGTATACGCAACAGTTTTTTAACATGTCCATTTCTGGTAGGTTCCTGTTGGTGTGTGACCTGTAATGGACAGAAGATCAAGGGTACTGAGACTCCACCAGGCACTGCTCCCATCAAATGTGCCACCCTGGTAAACACACTCATTCTCTCTCATTCACTAAATGTTAATTATTTGCTGGTGGTTCTGCATGTTTTTAATGTTTATGTTGTGTTTTTGTCTGTAATTGTAGATTTGCTCGTAGATGAAAGGCGTTGGAATGAAGACGGTAAAAATACTTTGACAGTTTCTTTACTGTCCTACAGGAACTGCTTCCCATTCGATACAAATAAATAAATGAAGAAATCCTGAGAGAATTTAAACTTTTAATGATTGGCTTTATTTATTGTTGGTTTGATATGCTGTACAATTTATATGAACCGGTCCATTTCTGGGAAATGGAGGAAGGAATATCAGTCTTTTTAAATGAACCCTTTATATTAACTTTATAAGACAACATATTTTTGCTACAATGGTACAACAAGTACCATCTTACACAAGAAGCCTTACAAGATAGGATGGAAGCCAAATGGTTCTATTCCCTACATAGTACACTACTTTTGACCAGAGCCCTATGGCCAGAGCCCTATGGTATTTTTTGTGCTTTGCACAATTCTTACACTAGAAAACGTACACGATGTCGTGTAGCTCAGTTGGTAGAGCATGGCTTTTCCAACGCCAGGTTTGTGGGTTCGATTCCCACGGGGAGCCAGTATGAAAATGTCTGCACTCACTAACTGTAAGTCGCTCTAGAAAAGAGCATCTGCTAAAATGAAACGTCTTATTTTGTTTAAGTTCCTAACTTGATTGATAAGATTAGTACAGTTTTTCAGAGAGGACCCCACATTAGAGCCCTGCACGTGAATGAATTTTTAGCCCTACCCATGCCGGTCCTACACTACCCAGGCCCGATTGCTTTTGCTGAAACCCCAAATAACTTCCTCCATTAGTAAGTCCATTAACTGCGCCGCGCCGTCTGTCACTCGGTCCCTGTGCATAGCTCACTCTGCATGGCTCTGAGTTTCCATATCAACTTCGCCACTTGGGCTGCTCTGCTCATGACACACGAGAGCAGTGAGGTGTTAGCTACTTTTCCTCACTCTAAACTCCAAAACTCAAGGAACATTTTCTGTGAAATAATCTTATATTTCACGAGGTTGAATCACTGACACCAAGTTATGATTTTAGCAGACTTTGAAAAGGCATTTTATAAAGTACAACTGGGGTTTAAATATAAATTCCTGGAGCATTTCAATTTTGGAGAATCTCTTATGAATTAGGTTAAAATCATGTATAGTAACCCTAGGTGTAAAATAGTAAATAATGGCTATTTCTCCGAACGTTTTAAACTGTCAAGAGGAGTGAAACAAGGTTGTCCACTATCGGCATATATATTTATTATTGCCATCGAGATGTTGGCTATTAAAATCAGATCCAACAATAACATCAAGGGATTAGAAATCCAGGGCTTAAAAACAAAGGTGTCATTGTACGCTGATTCATATTTTCTTTTAAATCCACAACTTGAATCCCTCCACAGCCTTCTAGAGGATCTATATACATTTTCTAACGTCTCTGGATTACAACCAAATTATGATAAGTGTACTATATTACGTATTGGATCACAAAAAAAAAAAATTACATTACCATGTAGTTTACCAATAAAATGGTCTGATGGTGATGTGGATATCCTCGGAATACATATCCCAAAGGAAATAAATGATCTCACTGCAATACATTTTAATAGAAAGTTAGCAAAAATAGATAAGATCTTGTTACCATGGAAAGGTAAATACCTGTAACTCTTTAGTATTATCCCAATTTACCTATTTGCTTATGGTCTTGCCTACGCCGAGCGAACAGTTTAAATTATGAGAAAAAAATATTCCATTTTATTTGGAACGGCAAGCCAGACTAAATTAAATGGGCCTATTTATATAATGAATATGAATTTGGAGGACAGAAATTATTAAATATTAAAGCATTAGACCTATCACTAAAAGCTTCAGTCATACAAAAATTATACTTAAATCCGAACTAGTAAGATTGTCTCACCCAATGTTCAGGAAGGGACTTTTTCCCTTTATTCAGATTACAACCCCTCACTTTAAGGTATTTGAAAAGGAAATCATCTCCCAAATATCATTATTTCTAAAACAAGCCATAGAAAGTTGGTTACAATTTCTATTTAATCCTCCAGAAATGACAGAACAAATATTGCAACAAATATTGCGGTTAAACTCAAATATACTAACAGATAAAAAAATATACATATTTTTTGAGAGAATGTTTAAAAAAGGTATAATATTCGTAAATGATATTATCGGTAGGAATGGTGGAGTTATGTCACACATGCAGCTAACAAAAACATATGGGAATGTCTGCTCTACCCAAAAGTACAACCAAATAATTGCAGTATTACCGCAAAATTGGAAGAGGAAAGTGGAAGAGGGAGAAAGTAAGGAACTTGTCTGACTGCATCAAAGAACATCATTGGTTAAAGAAAATTGTGATAAATAAAAAACTTTACCAGTTAAATTTAAGGTCCAAAAGATTGACAGCCATCCCATATAGATTGCAAAATAGTTGGGAAGAGATTTTTGACGTACCGATTCCATGGCATAGTGTTTATGAACTGATACGCAAAACGACGCCGGATTCAAAACGTATTTAATTGAAATTATTATATTTCTACCAATATAATGTTATTTGTATGGGGGATACAATCTTCCCAGCTCTGCAGATTTGGCTGTGAATCATTAGATCATTTGTTTTGGTACTGTCCATTTGTAGCTTGTTTCTGGACACAGGTCCAGGAATGGCTGAAGGATTGCAATATTTGCATGGAGCTGACCCTGCAGATAGCACTACTGGGTGATCTGAAAAGTCATAGTCAATCAATCAATAATATAATAATACTTTTAGCAAAAATGTTTATTTTCAATTCACAAACTGTAGAAACAATGAGAATAGAAAGGTTCAGAACTTTTGTAAAACATCACAAAAGTTGGTGTTAAGAGATAGATGGGAGGTGTTGAATTGAGCTGAAGGATGGGACTAATAACAACAAGGTAACTAGTGTAAGACATGCTGTGTCCATAATAAGTATATAGGTTATATATTGTGAGCTTTTGTGAAAGAGCACAGTTAGAAAGATATGGCATATAGAAGCATACCAGTTGGACATCATGAAAATGATCGGAGGAAGTTCAGGAGTAAAAACAAGCAAAATATAATTATTGACTGTGTACATAAAATGTATATAGTATGTATAAGCATGAAGTAGAAGCCTAAGCATTGTTGTTCACTAGTTTACTCCAATTAGGGAAGGGGTGGTGGGGTTGGAAAGTAATAAAGAACGTACAGTGGGGAGAACAAGTATTTGATACACTGCCGATTTTACAGGTTTTCCTACTTACAAAGCATGTAGAGGTCTGTCATTTTTATCACCAGCGACAGCCCCGAAACCTGAAGGATCTGGAGAAGGTCTGTATGGAGGAGTGGGCCAAAATCCCTGCTGCAGTGTGTGCAAACCTGGTCAAGACCTACAGGAAATGTATGATCTCTGTAATTGCAAACAAAGGTTTCTGTACCAAATATTAAGTTCTGCTTTTCTGATGTATCAAATACTTATGTCATGCAATAACATGCTATTTAATTACTTAAAAATCATACAATGTGATTTTCTGAATTTTTGTTTTAGATTCCGTCTCTCACAGTTGAAGTGTACCTATGATAAAAATTACAGACCTCTACATGCTTTGTAAGTAGGAAAACCTGCAAAATCGGCAGTGTATCAAATACTTGTTCTCCCCACTGTATATATATATTTTTAAAGGATATGAAAAAGTATTTGCCCCCTTTCTAATTTTGTCTACTTTTGCATATTTGTGATACTTAATGTTATCAGATCTTCAACCAAAACCTAATATTAGATAAAGGGAACAATAGTGAACAAATAACAACAATTACATATTTATTTCATAAACAAAGTTATGCAACACCCAATTCCCCTGTGTGAAAAAGTAATTCCCCCCTTACACTCAATAACTGGTTGTGCCACCTTTAGCTGCAATGACTCCAACCAAGTGCTCCCTGTAGTTGTTGATCAGTCTCTCACATCGCTGTGGAGGAATTTTTGCCCACTCTTCCATGCAGAACTGCTTTAACTCAGCGACGTGTGGGTTTTCAAGCATTAACTGCTCGTTTCAAGTCCTGCCACAACATCTCAATTGGGATTAGGTCTGGACTTTGACTAGGCCATTCCAAAACTTCCAATTTGTTGCTTTTTAGCAATTTTCATGTAGACTTGATTGTGTGTTTTGGATCATTGTCTTGCTGCATGACCCAGCTGCGCTTCAGCTTCAGCTCACAGACGGATGGTCTGACATACTGCTGTAGAATTCTCTGATACAGAGCAGAATTCATGGTTCCTTCTATTAAGGCAAGTCGTCCAGGTCCTGAGGCAGCAAAGCATCCCCAAACCATCACCACCATGCTTGACCTTTGGTATGATGTTCTTACTGTGGAATGCAGTGTTTGGTTTTCACCAGGCATTACTGGAACTATGTCGTCCAAAAAGTTATACTTTTGAATCTGTCCATAGAACGTTCTTCCAAGAGTCTTGATGATCATCCAGGTGCTTTTTGGCAAACTTGAGTCAACTTTTTGGACGAGATGGGTCCCATTATGCCTGGCGAAAACCAAACACTAGCCCTGAGTTATCTGAGATTGACCAGCGCGTCAGGGCCATTATTGGTGAGACGGCACTCTCAGGTGTGCCATCAGCGGAGCAACTGGACACTGACCAGGGCCCTATATCAACAGCTTCATATCCTCCAAGGCCATCTCCCACCAGTGAATCAGACGGTAAGCAAGTCTTTCTGAATTTATACCATTTCATGCCATAATTTAACTCGCATCTGTTACAAGACCATGGTGCTTGCCTATGGAGCTGTGAGGGGAACGGCACCTCTGTACCTTCAGGCTCTGATCAGTCCCTACACCCAAACGAGGGCATTGCGTTCATCCACCTCTGGCCTGCTGGCTCCCCTTCCTCTGCGGAAGCATAGCTCCCGCTCAGCCCAGTC